CAAATATAACTCTCATCATATGCTAATTTACCAAGTTCAAAATTTTATATTTGATAATGGAAATCCAAACTAGTTCTGATTCACGGTGTTGATGAGCTCATTCGTGCAACCATCCTTATCTAATTTCAGTAATAACTATTTCATACTGGCCCAATTCCAAGTTTTTTTTAGTCATACTGTTGGAAATCCAACCTCATCAACCGGTATGTGGCGAGATAAACTAGGCCATATTTTATTTAGTAGCCATAACTGCCTGGATTTCTGGGAATTTTTTTTTACATACTCGTCTGGATTTCCAGATTCTGTTTCTCCATATACAGTTGGAATTCCGGGGTATTTTCCCCATCATACAGTGCTGGAAATCCGACCACATCAACAGGGGGGTGCAGATATAAACTGGAATGGCCCAATGTGATAACATGTTCAATGGTGAAAATAATTTTAAGGTAGATGTAGCTATGATAAAAAAATATTTTCTCACCTCATCATTGGCTCTTGAAGGTGCCCTGCTGGAAGCTGCAGCATAACAAACATATAACTGTTACCATAGCAACATTCGTAATCAGATGTTGCATTACATTGATTCATATTATAACATTGTGATAATAAATTTGATTTATGTAAAGTCATAAAAAATATATAATTTGACGTAAACAAGGTATATCAATTGACATCAAGAATATATTATTTATTACAAATGAGTGTCTGTTTTGTTTCCGAAGTTTTGGAGTTTATTATAACCTTGATAATGCCTCATGAAAAATCAATTCATTCAATATGTACTGTTGACAGTTTACTATAATGGTAAGTAGGTACATTTTTAGAAGAAATTTTTATTATAAAAATATATAATACCCGTGAAATCTGTATTAGTAATTGAGTATCAAAAATTCACCATTTCGCATATGTTTAGATACTCTAATAGAAGCTGCATGCATTCCTTCTGTTGCATTGTACTATTTTAATAGAAGCCGCAGCTTCTAATACAGATTTTACAGTAACAAGGATTTATAAGATGAGAATATTGCAAGGGTTGATTTGTGATGAAGATTACACATGAATATTAGATGAATATATGTGGATGGTATTGCTATTAGTTAGAACTACGTTCGATTGGCGTGTACAGAACAAGATCAAACATAAAACTATCATTCAACTTACCAGACTGTGGCCGTTGTACACTGACATGATCCGAAAAGTTATAACAACTGATTGTGGCAGTTGCTTGAGCTTGGCCTTGAGGTTGGGCGTGACGAGGCTGCAAGAAAACACAAACATTAGTACAAATCAAACATGTACAACATTACTTATACCTACATTGTCTATTAATTTCACAGAAACATTACGATATATATAAATAAAAATATTTAAAAAACTATTCCCGTATGATTGACAACTACCATGGTATATATTCCGTCGTTACATAAAAAAATATTATGTCAATTTCAATCAGAAATACTGAATTGGATGTAGAAAAAAAAAGTTGATTTGATATTATAAAATGGCAATAACTTGTTTACATATTTTGGTTATGGAAACAAATATTCCCCGACCTTTAAAATAAAGATCATTTTAATACGTGAAAATTAATGCAAAGTTGTCATTGTCTGCACTTTTTTTTATATTCCTCAATATTTCTGGAAATGAACCCTAATTTTGGAGCCAACAGACGAAATTTGAGTCAATTTTCAGATTTTACTCAAAAAAGTGTCTATTTTTGTTCAAATCCTCTTAAGCAAAGTGCAGACTATAAACAGAACTTTGTGAATTTGTGATGAAAAGAGGGAACTGGTGGTGAAAAGGTTAACTATCAACATTGTTCTTCAAATAGACACTACAAGATAGAAGTGGTATGTTATGTAGTGTCACCACAATGTTTTGAGTTTCTGTACAATTATTCTAATCTACAAATTACCGTATTTGTGATATTAATAGTGCATAAGCTCATAACAATAGAATAAATGTGTCATTCATGGTCCAAATAAGTCACGATCCATAAAAAATAAATGCAATTTGGAAAAGGAAATACAAGAAGTGTAAAGACATAAAATAAGCAATGACTGCATCCACAGTACAGCTTACACACAACCTATTTTTCAGAACCAACCAGTACTGTGTGGTAAACTGAGGTACACTTGCATAAAACACATTGACTCTACAAAACAAGACATACAGTGCTCAGAATAACTACATGTGTGTGTAAAAATACGTCTCCATCCCACTTACCCAGAATACCCTGGTATTATTAGCATTATTATTCCGCTATTTGAAAGCAGTGAAGGAATACAGAGCAGGGTTGAATTAGAACAAAAATAATCATAACTTGTTCATGAAGCTTGTAGATACAAGTGACGTTATGGGCTTCGAACCGAGGGTGAGAATGCCAATCTGAACTCACAACCAACCAGTGCCAATCTGGACTCACAACCAACCAGTGCCAATCTGGACTCACAACCAACCAGTGCCAATCTGGACTCACAACCAACTAGTGCCAATCTGGACTCACAACCAACCAGTGCCAACCTAGACTCACATGCAACCAGTGCTAACCTGGACTCGTATGCAACCAGTGCCAATCTGAACTCACAACCAACCAGTGCCAATCTGGACTCACAACCAACCAGTGCCAATCTGGACTCACAACCAACCAGTGCCAACCTAGACTCACATGCAACCAGTGCTAACCTGGACTCGTATGCAACCAGTGCCAATCTGGACTCACAACCAACCAGTGCCAACCTGGACTCACATCCAAATAGTGCCAACCTGGACTCACATCCAAACAGTGCCAACCTGGACTCACATCCAAACAGTGCCAATCTTTACTCACATGCAACCAGTGCCAATTTGGACTCACAACCAACCAGTGCCAATCTTGACTCGCATGCAACCAGTGCGAATTTGGATTCGCATCCAACCAGTGCCAATCTTGCCTCGCATGCAACCAGTGCCAATCTTGACTCGCATGCAACCAGTGCCAACCTGGACTCGCATGCAACCAGTGCCAATCAGGACTCGCATGCAACCAGTGCCAATCAGGACTCACATGCAACCAGTGCCAACCTGGACTCACATGCAACCAGTGCCAACCTGGACTCGCATGCAACCAGTGCCAACCTGGACTCGCATGCAACCAGTGCCAACCTGGACTCACATCCAACCAGTGCCAATCAGGACTCACATCCAACCAGTGCCAATTTGGACTCATATCCAACCAGTGCCAATCTGGACTCACAACCAACCAGTGCCAATCTGGACTCACAACCAACCAGTGCCAATCTGGACTCTCAACCAACCAGTGCCAATCTGGACTCTCAACCAACCAGTGCCAATCTGGACTCTCAACCAACCAGTGCCAATCTGGACTCCCAACCAACCAGTGCCAATCTGGACTCGCATGCAACCAGTGCCAATCAGGACTCATATCCAACCAGTGCCAATCAGGACTCATATCCAACCAGTGCCAATCTTGACTCACAACCAACCAGTGCCAATCTGGACTCTCAACCAACCAGTGCCAATCTGGACTCTCAACCAACCAGTGCCAATCTGGACTCTCAACCAACCAGTGCCAATCTGGACTCACAACCAACCAGTGCCAATCTGGACTCACAACCAACCAGTGCCAATCTGGACTCACAACCAACCAGTGCCAATCTGGACTCTCAACCAACCAGTGCCAATCTGGACTCTCAACCAACCAGTGCCAATCTGGACTCACAACCAACCAGTGCCAATCTGGACTCACAACCAACCAGTGCCAACCTGGATTCACATCCAACCAGTGCCAACCTGGACTGGCATGCAACCAGTGCCAATCTGGACTCACAACCAACCAGTGCCAATCTGGACTCTCAACCAACCAGTGCCAATCTGGACTCACAACCAACCAGTGCCAATCTGGACTCACAACCAACCAGTGCCAATCTGGACTCACAACCAACCAGTGCCAATCTGGACTCACAACCAACCAGTGCCAATCTGGACTCACAACCAACCAGTGCCAATCTGGACTCACAACCAACCAGTGCCAATCTGGACTCACAACCAACCAGTGCCAATCTGGACTCACAACCAACCAGTGCCAATCTGGACTCACAACCAACCAGTGCCAATCTGGACTCACAACCAACCAGTGCCAATCTGGACTCACAACCAACCAGTGCCAACCTGGACTCACAACCAACCAGTGCCAATCTGGACTCACAACCAACCAGTGCCAATCTGGACTCACAACCAACCAGCACCAGTAAAGGACTCCATTTTACCTTGTTTGCAGAAGTTGATTTTGTTGTTTTTCCTTTCAATGCAGAATCTTCTTTTTCTCGTTCTTTCTGATTAGTTGGTGGTGACGTTCGATCATATTTTGACTTCTTCTTGGCTTTATAGGAAAACATAAAAGAAATTCTGATGAGTCCTTCTCAAGAGAGATACATATATGTATGTCACTAACCATGGTACTTATCATTCAGGTGTGAAATACTGACACTGATATGGTAAGATACTTGTCACAATATTCATGTTGAACATCATCATTTTTTGCGGTGTCAAAACACAAACCGAAAAAACAAACTGAATCACATGACATACTGACTTACATGAATCACTAACTTATAACTATGCCAAACAGAAAGTTTATTTTGAATGCATAATGCTAAGAAGAACAATAACTCAGGTCAACATGAGATGCAAACTTACACGATTTCACTGTTTTTTCACAATCCTGTTTGGCGGGTGCATGTGCAAATAATGGCGCTGTGGAACGGATATCATCATCTATGACAAATAAAAGACAGAATTATTTTAAAACAAAAATTAGATACATGCAGACACTTTAAAAAAAATGTAATTTCCTGAAATTTAGAGATTACACTTATGAGGTGGGCATTATAATGAGGTGGGCATTATACTTATGAGGTGGGTATTACAATAAAGGGGCCATTACACTTATGAGGTGGGTATTATAATGAAGAGGCCATTACACTTATGAGGTGGGTATTATAATGAGGTGGACATTATGCTTATAAGGGGGGTATTATAATGAAGGGCCATTACGCTTATGAGGTAATTATTATAATGAGGTGGCCATTATGCTTATGAGATGGGTAATATAATGAGGTGGTGATTATTCTTATGAGGTTGGTATCATAATGAGGTGGTCATTATGCTTATGAGGTGGGTATTATAATGAGGTGGCCATTATGCTTATGAAGTATTATTACCCAGTATAATGAGGTGGCCAGTATGCTTACGAGGTTAGTATTACAATGAAGTGGACATTATGCTTATGAGGTCGGTATCATAATGAGGTGGTCATTATGCTTATGAGGTGGGTATTATGATGAGGTGGCCAATATGCTTATGTGGTAGGTATTACAATGAAGTGGGCATTATACTTGCGAGGTGGGTATTATAATGAGGTGGCCATTATGACTATGAGGTGGATATTTTACTGAGGTGGCCATTATCTAGTATTAAACACGAAAATGAATAATGCAATATACTACTATAGAACAGAAAATATTATGTCATAATGTTATAGACTTGAATACATTTATTGCTACTTACACTCATCTTTCAGTGTTCTTTTTTTGGCTGGATCACTTTCACAGCGACCCTCACTTGTCACAGCAATCACCTACAAGGTACAAAATACAGTGACCGACACATGTTTATATGGACAATACAATTGTGTAAACATAGTACAACCTTTTCATAGTGTAAAGAATATTTAAATGAACAAGTTATTTCTGACGGATGAACAAAGTGAGTTACATCTAAAGTCTAAGCAGCAAGAATTATTAGACAATGATTTTTTTACATGGTTATTCACTTTTTCTGCTTCTTACTAGAGATGTGCTCCAAATGGAACAAATACCAGAGAACATATGTGAGACAACTTACTGTGAAAATATACTCCGTGTCTGACTTTAACCTTCTTGCAGTAAAACTTGTATCAGTTCCTGAGTAAATTACTTTACCATTCTGAGTTAATTCAAATCTATGGAGTCTACCGAGGGGTAGTTCCGGATGATCCCATGAAACAAACACTTCGCTACGCCCTCGTACAGTTAAAGAGGGTTTCCCTGGTGCATGTTGACCTGTTGTGAGGATGCAACAATTATTAAATACTATTTTAATTATTATTCAAAGTTAAAAGATAGTCTACCCTAGATAGAATTAAATTTATGGTCAATATTTTCTAGATTGCCTTACGCTTCAATCATTTTTATTTAAAAAACAAACAAACTGCAGATAGTACTGTAAATAATTTGAGCTAACAATGCCAATTTTATTACAAGCACTGTTTGGCTATAATTTGTCCGTTCCGGAGATGTTTTGTCTGTAACACAGATGCATACACCCCTGACTACAGTCGCCAGAACTTAGGCTATATGCTAAAACACACTAAATTCAAAAGCATATAATTTTCAATGTAAGAACACATTCAATACAAGTTACATGCACTGAAACACTATGGTCAAGCTGTATCACATGACTTGCCTTATTTGGAAAATGAATGGTCACATGACTTGTCATATGAAAACATTTCCTGTGCCACAGGACAATAAATTCAATATAGTTGCATGCACTGAAACACTATGGTCACTCTGTCAAGCTGTATCACATGACATGCCATATTTGGAAAATGTATGATCACATGACTTGCCATATAAAGACATATCTTGTGTCACATAACAATAAATTCAATACCAGTCACATGCATGGTAAATATTACAGAAAAAGAGCTTTTAACTACAGAAATTTTGTACATGCAAAAAACAAGGTGCCAAAAAACAAAGACAACTGTGATGTCATAACACATGAACTAAACACAAAGTACTTAGATGAGCAAACATAATGATGAATGATGAAGGACAGTGATGAGCATAATTGCCATGGCAACAGATGTCATTGAGTAATCTTACTTTTATTTCTTATATCGGGTAATAACCCAGACTTTGAAAGCAAAGCTACACAACCATAAAACACAGAAAAAAAAATTGCAAAAAATATTATTATAAGTGAAGTTTATGCATGTAATAAAAAAACAAAAAAATATAATTGGATCTTGAAGTTAAACTTTGAACGATTGGAAGATAAAAAAGTGTGAACTGTAAACCAATAATGTTTACTGCTAGTAAAATGTATGATGATTTGTGTAACCAAAACCCCAGTCAAAAGAACCCTGTTACAAATAGGCATGATTTTCAGACTTCATATAATTCATTAAAACTTTATAACATGTTAGTGAAATGACACTCCCTTCTTGATAACTGTGCTCAAAAGTGACATTTAACACAAAGCATGCTGGTCTATTAAAATGTTAGAAACAAAAGCTTTATAAGCTTATGATACCAACATTTAATTGAGACATATTTCTTCTGCATTAGACATATATGTTTAGTCATTTAAAATGGATCACATGACGTGCCATATTTGGAAAATCTATGGATCACATGACGTGCCATATTTGGAAAATCTATGGATCACATGATGTGCCATATTTGGAAAATCTATAGATCACATGATGTGCCATATTTGGAAAATCTATGGATCACATGACGTGCCATATTTGGAAAATCTATGGATCACATGATGTGCCATATTTGGAAAATCTATAGATCACATGATGTGCCATATTTGGAAAATCTATGGATCACATGACTTGCCATAATTGGAAAATCTATGGATCACATGACTTGCCATATTTGGAAAATTTATACATCACATGATTTCGGCATGAAAACAATAAAATTAATGGTGTATAATGTTACCTAGCTCTGCTGTCCTAACTGAAATTGTGGCCTTCGCTCCTTTACCCTTTGAATTATAAGCACAAACCTAGAGGGAAAACAAGGTATTATTGAAATAATTTTAGGGTCAGTGTTGTTGTATGTTGCAGTCACATACACCATGAACAATGTACATGTGAGTAAAAAAAAAAGTCAAAATATCAGCTACCATATTTTCTTTATTACCGTTAAGTGCACATATAAACAAAGATGGCGACTTTGACTGTTGCGCTGATCAACGAGTACGAACTGAGACGTTTCCAAGCTTTAATTAGGTAATTTTCATGTGATTGGAAGGTATCGAAAGAGTTACCGGCGGTAAATAGTGCATAACGCGCCCAGATCAAGTCTCATCCTTGTGATTTCCATTTGAAGTGCGCATTGGATTGTGGGAAAATCAATGTTTACCAACACAAATTTCGCACATGCGCAGCGCGACGACTACCGCACTTTAAGTAAACACATGTATAAGTTCAGTATAACATAACAACATTTGATTTCTCTTTAAAGCAGCAATAGAGCAGTTTGGAACAATAATTCAGTTATGATCAAAACAAACAAAACAATTTCTTGAAAGATGGAAAATCAAAAACCACACCAGATACAAATGCACAATTTTATGTACTTTTCTCGAACTCCTCAGTTTGACAAAATGGACTTAACTTCTCACTGGCTAAAAATATGCAAATCCCATTGTCAAGATTCCAAACACAGTATTTGTGAACGTTGACTTTGTTGTTAATTAAAAATATAAAAGTTTGAAAAAAAAACGCTGATTCAATCAGACATTGCAGCTCAATTCACTGGGTTTTAATTTTGCTTATTTCGCTGACTGGAAATTAAATTAAAACCCAGTGAATATGTAAAATTTAGCATAGAGCACATTATCTAAATGATAAAACCATGAATTTAAAACCCACTGAATAATGGTAAATCAGCGAAATATAAACCCAGTGAAAATTTAGTCATTTTACGGTACTTTTAACATTCTCACCTGTATGTCATAAGTTGTTGCAGCAGCCAATCCTGATACAATTGAGCTTAATTCAGATGTATTGTCAGTTGATGTTTTACCTGCAATACATTAACAATGCACTGATTAATTCTTTTCGACTAAAATGTATGATGCAACATTTGGCAAATTTGTAATCCCTTCGGCTTTCCATTTGATTGTGAGTGTTCCAGCTTCGTTCATCCTCAAGGATTTGATTCTGTTTAAAATTACTGTCCACACTAAATTCAGAATAATAGCAACAATGTAGTCTATGAATATTCACTACTTATAATCATACTAATATAATATATTCCCATAATTTTGAGATCTTTGCTTATTGATGTGCATATGTATAATATTATGTATGATGTATGTGTGAAGTTTGAATGTAATCGGTCCAGGCATGTCTAAGATATACGTCCGGATGCACAGACACACAGATGCACGAAAGCACAGAGGTCAATCCCTAAGTCCATGTTTTCAGACTGCATCAGAACGAGGACTAATAATTTCCCATATTTCAATATCTCATCTTAAAGGAGAACCGCTCAATCCCATGGATTGCACCAAAGAATCATGGGACACTATTGTTTATGTTGTTTACAATGTTAGTCTATCTTTTGTTATCCATTGTTATTTTAATCCAGAAAGTAAATTTGTTGTGAGATTAGGCTTAACTGGAAGGTGCCCCTTTAAGGCCCTGCGAGATGGAATGATCTAAAATTGCAACTTTAAGAACCTCAGCAAAATCTTCAGTACTAAAATATTTCATGATTTCCACTGATTTTATCAATTGTGGTTTACAATGAATTCTTTATGTCAGTGAGAAAACTGAAATTTGATATGGTAAAATGTCACAAAGTCAGATAAACATGTAGATCAAGGTTCTGATAGCTACACATGCTTAGGCCTAACTTAAGTCTCTTTAAAATGCATACATGTCGTAACTGATAAGCATGTGCCAAATGTGTTATTCACGACACCCACTACCATTTACCATACCATTTTTTTTAATCATTTTACTACATCAACGACAGAGAACCTGTGACTATTTCTTGTACGTGTTGACTTGGGGAATGTTTGCCCATGAAGATGTTTTTTGTATATCTCACTGTAGGATTAATGCTTGTTGTGCGCACAGACACCAAGAAAGCTGCAATGATTGCTGTACATGCATCAAATATTGTTCACATCTCATACACTAAGTGAAATTAACACTGCCACTGAAATGAGACATGACAGTAATTAACAAGATGCAGTACTGATAACTTATGTACTATTATATTATCTCACCATTATAAACAATGTAACCTTTTACTGCACCATTAGGGAACAGCGGAGGTGACCAACAAATCTTGATCTGTGTTGTGGTCACTCCAAGCACTCTTATCTCTTCGGGCGCTTCTGGAACCCATTCCTCGGTAGTCGCTACAGCTGGTTCACTCAGAGGACTGTTATCGCCTTCTGTGTACGTCTGAAGTTTGATCGTATACTGCTTGTCAGGGATGAGACCCGATACGACACAGCTCAGCTCCTGTCCTTGGTATACCACCTTTTTACCATCTGTAACTGTAGTTAGAGAGTCAGAAAGGTTAAAGCAATCCGTTGATCTAAAAAATAGTGCATAGGGTTCATTAACAGTTAGGCATATTTTTTTGTGACAAGAATAAGTATAACATTTTTTTATTATTACATAACTATAATAATTTATTTTAGCTGGAGGTGTTTCGTAGTAACTTTATTTTCACTGATTTTTGAGGAGTTGAATGTAAAATATAGGAAAAAAAGGTATATTTGCTTGATTTTGTTTTCACTGAATCATCCCTTCAGCAAAAAATGGAGAAAATAAATTCTGAGCAAAAATAAAGGATTTTACAGTACCAATGAAAAACTAGTTAAACTAGTTTTTTTTTGATTTCCCAGATTTTGTGCAGAGAGTTTAATTATTCTTTCTTCAAAAGATACTGTAACATCAGCTACAATGTATGTACACTCTTGTTTGAAAGAAAATTTCCACTAGACCAGAAATCTTAAATGACACAATTAGAAAGGTGTTACTTCTAAGACAGCGCCCTCAGTGTTGGACACACACATAATGAATCAACAAGCAGTACCTGGTGTTCTTTGACCTTGATTTTTTCAATCTTTGACTAGTTGCAATATTTAATAATATAGTTTTTAATTTTTTAATATGCCAACACTTACTGAATTCCCCTTGAAATTAAACTAAAATTCTCAAATTGCAGCAGAAACAACATTTTTGTATCACATCAGATACTAGTGACTTGTACATACCATCGTAGAGTTTATACGATACTTGTAAGTCACTTTTTAGTTTCACCAAATCCCAGTTTGCAGATATCGAGAATGCATCAACTACATCTAGCCTTGGTGCCTTGGGTGTTTCTAACTTTTTTAAAAGTTCTATTGTTTGTGTGACCTCTTCCCTAAGGTCTTCGCTGATTCCAGCTTTGGCTTCAGTTTCCTGTAAGAGAAGACATATAAATACATGTATAAAGTGAAAAAAAAAAATCTCAATAAATAATTTTGGGGTCTTTTTGTTTTTTACTTCTACTGGAGATGCGCTTCTAATAGAGCAAATAAATTATGCATATATGACATAGTTTGGTTACTTTACAAAATCGCAAGACCAAAGATAATTAAATGTACTGCATTTGTTCTATTAGTAGCACATTCACTCACAAAAATCACAAACGTGCTTCTATAGTCAAAATAAATAAAATTTAAGTGATTTATTATAAAATAAACAAATTTTTTTTTATATACACTTGCAAATACAGTATCTCAACAACCTACTAGTAACTCCTCGGTTAGGTCAACTGTGAGATGAACTGTTAATTGACAGTGACATGTAGATAAGTCAATCTCAGACAATCTCATCAAAAATACAGTATAAACTGTAGATTAAACACACCTACCTTAAGAGCAGCAATAACAGTCTTGTGATCTCTCAGTTTAAGACAACCCTTATTTTTATTAGCAAATGTTCGTAGTGTCCTAAAAATGTTAAAGATACAGACATATAAACAATATTTGATCGTGGAGCTAAAAAAAAGGAGACTGGACTCCCCTTGATGCTATTTTTGTCGACTATTTGCTCAACAAATAACACTTCATGGGTTTATCAGGGATTACTGAACACGAGTATTTAATTAGATGTGATTGGACGTTTTTGAATGAGTTCACATTGTTTCCATAAAACAATTCTAAATTCTTCAGGCAGCAGTAATTCTTTGGATAAACACAACTTTGTAAATAGCATTGTAACCATTGAAAACACAGTTTTAGAGGACGATGAGTATTGTTACTGCAATGGAGAGGAAACTATGACGACGAGAATTGTGCAATTGTACCGCTACATGCATGTTCATCAACTTTTGACGTCAACTGCTCAGAACAAAAATTATCACTACACATCACGAAGGGGGGACTGCTCAATAACCAGTGTGACGGTAGTCAGAAGAAGTCAGCGAGATGAAAGGCATGTGAACACAAAAGAATAATTAGCTAAAAACAAAAGATTCAAGTAGAATTAAAACCAGTTCTGTCTCTTTTTTTTTTTTTTAGCTCCATGGCTTTATATAGGTCAATCGCCTTTCTAAAATTAATGAGGAACATGTTTTCTTATTTGTATTTTAAAATTGTCATTGTCAAATTTAACCTTTTCATCGTTAGACGTTTTCAACCAAATTTGTCTAAGCTTCTTTCTTATATTCTTCAATATTTTTGGAAATGAGCCCAAATTTTAGAGCCAACAGACAAAATTTGAGTCAATTTTCAGTCTTTACTCAATAATTTTTGCTATTTTTGTCTTCTGAAGGAAAATGCAGACTATTAACAGGACTATTCTGTGAATTTGTGATGAAAAATGGGAACTGGTGGTGAAAGGTTAATACATTTTCGCTGATAATCTTCATATCCAATATAATATAAAAGTTGACTGTAAAGTCTACTCGGTACAAGCATCTACGATACTCACATAGCAGAAAACCATCCAGTCTCTGTATCATCAGCCTCTAACAGTTTAGCTAAGGTACAGAGCATGGACTCTGAAGAGGAATTATCCAGTAACCTCTGGTGGCCATCTTCACTTGCTGCCAAACAGCTGATAGCAAAACAAGCATTCTTACTGCAACCTGTATCTTCACTGTCCAACATCACGCACAGTGAACTTATCTACGTAGATAAAAAATTGTTAATGCAAATTTATCTTTGATGTTAATTTCAGCCTGTAATTTGACAATGTTGAAGTTTGATGAATGTTTTGATAATTCTGTCAATGAAATTAAAAAAATATGTTGCATTCTTTTCAAATTTTACGATATAATTCATTGCATACCTTCATTCAAAAGTTCACAGAACTAATTTCTGGCTTTATTTCACTTCTTTTTTTCGTTGCTATTTGCTTTGACATTTGTCTAAGTTAACCCTTTGGGTGCCATTATTTTTCCAGTCCGGATTTTATGCATTTACTATAATTTTTTTTAGGGCATAATTTCTTATCGAATATGCAAATTACCTAATTAATATGCACAGATGTTATATAGAACTATTTTGTGAATGGTGACAAAAGTTGACTTTGGTTCTCAAATGGTAAATGATATGCAAATTACCTAATTAATATGCACATATGGTATATAGAACTATTTTGTGAATGGTTACAAAAGTTGACTTTGGTTCTCAAATGGTTAATTATATGCACATTATCTAATTAATATGCACATATGGTATATAGAACTATTTTGTGAATGGTGACAAAAGTTGACTTTGGTGCTCAAAAGTTTAATACAGCAAATACAGTATAGTTGAGTAAATTCTAAAACAAGTTGATAATCTGCCAGAAAAGTCTATATAACAAATGGAATATTTTCAGGACCATTTACATTGTATTAAGATATTCAGTTTTATGGGCTCTTCACATTATATTTAAAGAATATTCAGTTTCCTGGGCCCCTTCTTACCATTTTATGAGATTCTCTCAATCGTAGCAAACGCGCTCTGCCTTCCTCCATGTCACATAATCTACCCAGTGCAAATGCAGAGTTCATCCCACGGCCTGCAAATAAGAATACAAAGTAAATCAATTTACTTACAATTTAACTCCGCAAATGGATAGTACTAAAATATGGGTTACAACAAACAACTTTAATGTCTTCCACTGATTTATTACATTATATGTGTACTTATATATTTTCTGAAAGTATTTTATTTTGCAATATTTTTGTTTTAATCTTAAAGGTTATGGATTCAAGAATTGTGTTTGTCTTCATTATTTGAAATGAGGTTTATAAAATAACAACCAATAATATTGTTAGTAGTAACAATATGGTACTTAATTCTGTGAAACTTGACAAACTGTAGCACACAATTTTAGTTTAAATAATTTCGTGAGTTTGAGAAAATCACCAAATTTTATAGCAGTTAAAATTAAATGAGTTGGAAAATGAAAAAAAAAAATATGAAAACTTATTTCATGAGTTATAACATAGAAAATATTGCACAGTAACAAAAAGT